TAATAAAATTTTCACAAAATAATTTTTTATAAAAAAAATAAGTGATCATCTCGTAAAAGAAGATCAAACAAATGGACCTCAAATTAAATCTCCAATTTAATTTCATAACTTCTTTTTGCAAGGATTCTTCAAAATCATAAACTAAATTCATAGGAGTTTATTATATTTTATGCTTTTAAATTAAAATTGTTCTATGTAAAATTATTAAACCGTGTGTGCGCGCGCGTGTAAACTCATCAGACTATATCAAATTTGTTTCCGAAAAATAAAAGTAAAATTGCGGAAGGTGAGAGGTTTGGAATTTGAGTGTTTAATTTTATGCAACAAAATTCACAGCATTGTGATTTTTATTGTGGTGTAATATTGCAGGAAATATTCCGAATGAAATAAGCAATCTTACAAATTTGAGCAGCATATACTTAAGTGCTAATCAGTTGTCTGGTCACATACCAAGAGGTATTGGCAATTTCACTAGGCGTCATGAGTTATTTCTGGACAACAATAACTTAGAAGGTATATAAATACTTTTATCAAATTAAAGGCTAGTTTCTGCTTAATCTTCTGTTAATATGATATTTATGCATGGGCAATCAAAATAGAGTTACTTTTTTTTTTTTACCACATTGCAAAAGAAATTATTTCTTTACAATAAACATAGAGAATCTCTCAAATCCAAAAATTTATAAACATAGATGATGATAAAAGTTTCTGAGCATTAATTAACGTTAAACAGGTATAGTGAATATATACATATACTCAAGGAATTGGAAAATTGACTATTATTTTACTTTATTATTTAGATTACGACCCACAGCTTTCACAACTTGTACTACAAATTTAACAGACTATATCAAATATTCACCAACTTAAATTTCTTAATTAAAAATACATTTCAACTGCACATTATACTTTGGGATTGGTACGCGGCAATTCAAACCATATATTATTATGGGAATTATCCTTTATTATCATTTAAAAAAGGTTCTTATTATTTAAAAAGTAATTTAAATTTGTTGATTGAACCTCCTCATCTATTCTTTTTTTGTTTAGACTTGATGCTTGAACCGGTGAATCAACCAACCAACATGTTTTTCATGTTCCCCCAATTTATTGACCAAATTTTGACCAGTTCACTATACATAAGATTTAATGGTTTATGCCAGGCTAGACGACAAGCTAGTTCACGTCCAACCGGCTGGTTTGGTGCAATTGTAAAAACCATGATGTAACTGATAATTTAGGTTTGTAATAGTATAAAGTAAAGATAATTTTAGAAGCTCAGGCCAGCAAACTAAAAACTAATCATCCACCACTAAAAAATTACTTACAAGAGCGTTTCTTTTAGACATAAAAAAGAGGCTTTTGCACATATAGCCCGTATTATAAGACCAAGTAAAACAATAGTCTATCCTTTCTTAAATTTCAAAAATGGCCTTCTTAATTTTTAGATTATAATTAATTTACAAAATTTCCCTTTTTAATATCTACTTTTTCAAATACCAAAAGATTCAAAATGCAAGAAATCTCTGGAATGAGAGAGAAAAATGTGAGAGAGAAGATGGAACTCAACGCGAGAGAGATGAACATAAGATAGTCGAGCAGTGTAAGTAAGCCACAGTCATGATGATGAGAGACATATACAAGGTTAGATACATTGATGGTAATTGACAGAACGGAGCATGCTAATGGGAAAATAGAGTTACAGATTCATAATTTTTTATTTTATTAATTTAGGTGTTTGATTCTCTATGATAAATTAAGAGTCCAAAATTTTTTGTGGACTATGTTTGATCTGTTTTGAGCAAATGATTATGTGTTTTTCGTGTTACTAATCTGCGATACTACATCATTGATATACGATTGCATCATCAATCATAAAGAAGTTTATGTTTGATTATCTATTTATGTTGATCTATAATAGTATCACTGATATATAAGCCATATTAGCAAAAACTTATCAATTTGTTTATCATTGAAATATAGCTATATATCAATGATATAGTATCACAAATTTGTAATGGAGTTTCCTCTCCAATGTCTAATGTCCTCTTTGTAATATATGGGGAAAACAGAGAGGAGAGAGAGGAAAAGCTCTGTGATGAAGATGGTGATCTAGGCAAATCAGATTAAAAATTCTGATTGAAAAAAAACACTATATGAGAAATGAATATGGTAATCCAAGAAAATCATATCAAAAAATCTAATGAAAAAAAAATTCAAAGATGATAAATCAGAGAGGGAGCATGCACAATACGGTTTTTGATGATAAAAATGAAAGATACAATCAGTTAAAAATTAGTTAAATAAGATATATTTTGTTTCAATAATAAATTTATTCTAAGGATAAAAAAGGAAAAACACATCTAATTGCTATGAATGGGCCATATTCTAAAATGTTGAAAAAATCTCATCCATAATTTATGGGAGTTGTATTTTTTGAGGCCATAGAGCTAATTTTCTCCATAAAAAATGTGAAATTATATCACAAATTTTTGATCGCTAAATTAGTGATGGATCAAAGCATACTTAGAAGTTTGTTGCAAAAGCCCCAATCCATCACAAATTTGTCCAAAATTTTATGTTTACGTAGTGGGTAAATCTAAAGTAGTTAGACATTCATAATTTTCTATATATTTTAATATTAACTTTCATTGATACTTCAATTAATATTTGTATTCTAGGACCAATACCTATGGAAATTGGTAAACTTCAACAGCTTGAGATATTAGAATTGTCTTGAAACAAATTGAGAGGGTTTATTCCATCAAAAATTTTCAACATGTTAACTTTGGATGTCTTGTCTCTCTCAAACAATTCTCTATCGAGAGGTCTTCCATCAAATTTTGCATTTGGCCTTTCTAATCTACAAAAGCTTTATTTTGAAGGGGTTTTACCTAACACAGTTGGGAATTTAAGATACTTAGAAACCCTTTTAGTAAGTGATAATAATTTTACCATTATAAATATTTCTGATTTTGAAACTAGCATTTTCAACTCATTATCAAATTGCAAACATTTGAAAAGTTTGATTCTCTCAATGAATCCACTGCATATGAAACTTCCCAAGTTCATTGGAAACTTGTCTAATTCTCCACAAGTGCTGCTTGTAGACTCATGCAGGATTAATGGTAACATACCATCAGAAATTAGGCATCTGTCTAACTTGCTCCAGCTATCATTGGCTGAAAATTTTTTAAATGGATCAATATCAAAAGCAATTAGCAACATATAGTCTCTTCAAGATTTGAATCCTAAAAACAATGAGCTAGGTGGGTTGATTGTTGATGAGCTTTGTGAAATTGGAAGACTTCCCTATCTGCATTTATCTCAAAACAAGTTTTTTGGAGCAATGCCACCTTGCTTAGGAAATCTTATGTCCTTGCAAAAACCTTACTTGGACTCCAATAAGTTAATTTTTGAGATACTTTCTTCCTTTTAGAATCTAATTGATTATTAGAAGTAAACTTATCTTCTCATGTTTTAGCTGGAAATCTATCATTCAAAATTGATAACTTAAAAGAACTTATATCATTGGATTTGTCAAGAAATTGTATATCAGGTATCATTCCATCAACCATAGGTGGCTTGCAAAATTTACAAATTCTCTCATTGGCACATAAAAAATTGCACGAGAAGATTCCTAAATCACTTGGGAGTTTGCTAAGCTTAGTAAAGTTAGACCTTTCCTAAAATCAATTGTTTGTGAGATTCCTAAATCTCTAGAGTCACTTATATCCCTTGTGTATGTCAATCTCTCTTTTAATGAACTACAGGGTGAGATTCCAAGTGGCAAAGTCTTCAAAAATTTAACATTTAAATCTTTCATGATGAATAAAGCACTTTGTCGTGAGCCACAAATGCAAGTGTCTCCATGGAAAAAAGGAATAAGTAAAAGGTCAATGGAAAAATTGATTTTGTTGAAATGTGTATTGCTAATGACTTTGTCAATAGCTTTAATTGCTACAGGAATTGTCCTCTTTCAACAAAAGTGACTAAATTCTAGGCATACCATTAAAAAGTTTTATCTACTTTAGGAATGCCAAGAAAGATTTCTTATTTTGAAATTTTGGATGCAACTCATAGATTTGATGAGATTAACTTACTTGGAAGGGGAAGTTTCAGTTCTATGTTCAAAGGAAAACTTTCAAGTGGAATAATAGTTGCCATTAAAATATTCAATTTTGACTCAAGAGCATTGTTAGAGCTTTAAGGTAGAATGCGACGCAATGCGTAATTTGCACCATCGCAATCTAGTGAAGATCATTAGTAGCTGTTTCAATGCTGATTTGAAGTGTTGGATAATGGAGTTCATTCCCAATGGAAGCCTTGAAAAATGGTTATATTTTGATAACTATCATTTGGATTTGTACAAAGGTTGAATATAATGATAAATGTAGCACCTGCTTTAGGATATCTTCATCATGGCTTGTTAACACTGGTAGTCCATTGTGATTTGAAACCAAGTAACATTTTGTGGATGATAATATGGTTGCCCATGTGAGTGACTTTGGAATTGCCAAATTTTTAGATAAAGAAAAATCTAAGACACACACTAAGACAATATCTACAATTGGTTATATTGCACCAGGTAATCTACTTAAATCTTATTATTCTTCTTTTACAAAACCCCATTTAAATTGGAGTTACTACATAAGATACATATATTGTCTCTCATTTTTTCAAATTAACAAAATCGATTGAAATTAGAGAAAAAATAAATTTGTCACACCCCAAAATAGGGGGTGACTGGCACAGGATGCGAACCACACATACATCCCGTAAGCCACAAATTCAAGGTTTATTTCATTTAATTAAAAAAAGTACTCAATTATTCACTGACGTTTTAATACTATTACTACTAATTATTTCAATATTTCGTAAAAATTTTAATAGAACCTTCTCTGTAAATAAGATCTACCAAAAATTCTGTATCATAAAATTTTCTTTAAACGTTATATCTATCAGGAACTCGACTCCTTCAAGCCAGCAGACAAAATGTATAATAAACTAAGGATTCTAATTATAAGTTATGTGGAGCACCTAATCATATATCTCATGACATAATACATAAATTTCATATTACATCAATAAGACATATTTACAGAGCAAGCCTCCACTCTGTTCCGAAAACATCCATCATTGGTAAGCAAGACGTACAGCGTCAATTATGCTATCTGAAACCAAAATAATTTTCCAGTGAATAACGTCCCAACAATAAATAATTTAACATGAATAAAAAGAAAAAAAATTGAAATAATCATATAAGTTAAAGAAATAACAATTTCCATAAAAAATGTATAAACTTCAAAGAAAATGGCTCTATAAAAAAATTTAAATAAAATCTTAAACCATTGAATTATCATATCAAATGTTAATTTCACTTGATTTTAAGAAGTCTCATAATGGAAATAAATACTTGTAAATAAATTACTCAATAAAAACCAATGGGATATCAAATCACCAAATAATCAGATTCATAACCATAGAGACTTATCAGAACAATTAACAAACGTGGACACACAGTCCATGAAGGTAAATAATCCAAACGCGGCTTGTGCCACGAAAACAAACGTGGACACACAATCCACGAGGGTAAGTAACCAAACGTAGCTGAAGCCACGAAACAAACGTGGACACCCAGTCCACGAGGGTAATACTAACCAAACGCGGCTCAAAGCCACGAAATCAAACGTGAGTACAATACTCACGAATAACCATCCCTCCATTCCACGTGTGTTGGCCATCGCACGGGGCTAGCACCTCCTATAAACACCCTGCTAGCTTGGTGTACCATGGTGCGCCAAGGGCTAACGGAACTGCCATTAGCAACCAGTGTTCCGTATAAAATCCCTTTTTAAAACCATTTTTCAAACATGCGAGAAAATCATCATTTTCAAGATACAGTTCTCATTCTCAAAATCAAACTCGCATGAATACTTTTGAACATTAAAACATGCCACGATAAAATTTCGTATCTGAAGTCCATGTTTGGCATTTATTGCATAACTCAGAATAACCGGAGTTGATAAAAATAATCTCATCAATTTTTTTTAAAAGTATTCATTATAAAAAAACATACGCATACCATAACTCAATTATCTTTCAAAACTTCTTTATAATTTCCCAAAATAAGAATTTAAATGACAAAATATTCAATACTTAACATAATTTTCATTAAAATGATTTGCATAAATATAATATTTCAGAAACTAATTTTATGATAAAGCAGTTGGGACGCTATCCACTTACCTATAATATGCTCGAGCATCAAAATTCATTTCTTAGAACTTCAATCAATTCTTCCTTTCTCTTAGCATCCTATTCAATATAAAGAAAGATTTAATGGACTTACTTTAGTTAAATAAGTTATTTTCCAATATTGAAAACACTATAGTGAATTGACTTCAAATCATTATAATTTAATCAACCAAATCTTAATTTCTTCCATCCTTTTAATACTTTACATGCCTACTTCCCATCCAACAAATTGCTTATATCTTAATTTGTTTTCCCAACCATTCTTTAAATTATGTAACCAAACATTAATCAGGGTGCGTATAAACATATCTAAATACACACACACACCCCACATTTACTCTCTCAAGTCATCAAACATCTTTCATGCATATCAAGATTAAATAATTAAACAACACTAAGGTTTGTAAGTATCAACCATTTGACTTTCAAGAGCTTAGCTAATCAATTCTTCCTCAAATCTCAAGTTAATGCATCAATAACCTATACCAAGTATGCTTAAAAATTTTAGTAAACATTCAGAAAAATACATATTCAAGTAGACTCCACCTAACAGACATTTCATCTAACAACTTGTAAACATCAAATCTTAATTTATAATTCCAAACTAATTTCTTATCAATTCTCATTGTAGTCAAATTCTAACAAAATTTAATTTAGATTAGAATCCAGACCCATATATATATATATATATATATCGTTATGAACATTTGGAAATCACTTTCTAGCTCCCACAACAGCACGAGCAACAGCAGTAGAATACTCTCAAAAAGTTCTGTAATTTCAATATCAACTCACACTTCCTCTCACGTAAGTTCATCAAGGAAGAAAGCTGAAGAGTTCTCACCTTAGTTAGCCGACAGTGCACACACACAGAGGAGGAAGAAAACTGAATCTACAACTGAACAGGGGAAGAAGAATATAGCAATATTTCAGCCTCAACCCACGAATTAATCCTTCCACAGCACCATATCAGCTCTTCCTTCACTTCCCAACCACAAATGAACAAAATAAAGGAGGAAGAGAAACCAAGAGGCTGTCAATCGAATAGGAAGAGAAGATAAGATTTTTGTCTGAACCAAAAAGAAGGAAAACAGAGCATCACTCACAAGAAGAAAAACGAACTCAGCGCTGATTCAAATTCGAGATCAATACACCCACTCCAGCGACTTGATTTTTTCCATCAGCCAACGACCCAGATGTGCACAGCAAGATAGAACAGCAGCACGAAAAAGAAAACGAACAGAGGCAGAGAGCATGAAGAAGGACTCGCTAATGGCAGCACCTACAGAGACATACTGACAGAAAAAGAACAAGAAGGACGTTTCCAACCGTCCACAGCCTCCAGCAACTCAGCCTTTTACGCACACCGACTACGCAGATACAGCAAGGAAAACAAAAACAGAGATAAGAAGAATCATGGAGAACCTGGGCATTTTTGCAAGGCAGTGCTGAGCATCCACGATCGCCGGTGACACGGGGAGAACATTAGAGAAGGAAGGATGAGGAAGACCGATGGAGAAGACAGAGAAGCTCGAAACTTCTAGACCCAGGATTTCTCTCCCTCTCTCCCCTTGTGCTCTGTTCTTGACCGACCAGGGAAAGAAATTTAAAGAGATAAAATTTATTAGAAAAAATTACAAGAAATCTTATAGATATTTTTTAAAATTACACAAGAGGTAAGGGCATTTTGGTAACTTCATTTGATGACAACAAAAATAAAATTTCCTCTAATACAGGTAAGATTCAAACCTCCTACCTTCAAGTAACAAATTGCCATAGTTCCCACTAAATCATTACTCCCTATTTATTATGTATTTAAAACAATAAAATAAAATATCTATCGAAAGAAAAAAAAATCATTTAATTTATTTATCATTTAATTTATCTTCTTCCTTTTTAAAAAAAAAATTTTAAGGTTATTACAAAATTAGTTATTATTTATGTTAAATGATGCACTTGTTTACAAAAACATTATGTTTTTAATACATGAGAAGTTGAATTGACGAACTACAGCACATTATTAAAGTTATCAGTGTAAAATAATCACAATTGAATCTAATTTCCCTAATTTTATATAAAAAATTTATTGGTTATTTTCTTACAATTTTGATGGCTTTTTTATATTAAAAAAAGTATATTTTTGAATTAATTAGTATATTTATGTTGAATTATTTGTTTTACTTTGAAACATGAATGTGATGGTGTGTTTTAGGGCTCATGTTCATTAATGCAAACTACAAAAAAATAACTTTTGGCGGCAAAAAATTAATGTCAACGCCGAAAGTCTGTTTTTCTTTTTTGTAGTGTAGCTTGGTTCTCTTATACCTTCAATTTTTTACACTATTCAAATAAAGGATTTTAAGCACATAAATTTTACTCCCTCCGTTCAAAAATATAAGACATTTTTTGAATAGTTGAATGTTAAAAAATGAAAGACATTTTTAGTTTTTTAAGATGTAATCATTGCTTCTTCTTTTTTAAGTGTCCCCATTGATAATGACTTTATATTTATTGTAGAGTGTTTAATAGGGGTAAATATGAAAAGATAGAATTAGTTGAAAAGTAGGTAACTACTTTATTGGGGGATGAGATTTGGTTAAAAATACTTTACATTTTTGAACGAAAGAAGTAAATATGGGATTTAAAATTTAAAATTTAAATCTATAATCTAAACGCTTGTTTATAAAATTTTCATTGTAGATCTTGCGACCATTTTATTTTACCTGGTTTTCTCATAGAATCCTGTTATGAAAATAGAGTGGATTGTAATTTAAGTATTCCATGCAACGCAACGTCAGGATAATAATTACTTTACTGGAAAAATAATCAATATATCTATATATATATATATATATATGGAATTGAATTATATGAATCAGAGTTTGGCCGGACAAGAGCAGGATAGTTGCAGAGACAGGGACATGGAGACCCCACTGAGGCACATGCATGCTGGCACGATGGAAGAAGAATTCTATTGGTTGGGGCATCCAACTTGAGTAAAATTATTGACTCCTCAAATCACAATCAAGGTTGTCCATATGTTATAGTGTTCCTTCAACACTTTGATTTGTGTCTCCACTTGGCAGTTGTCTTCTCTCATGTTTTCCACTACTTTAATTTGATTTTGTCATGCGTGATTATACTGTGCAATCACAAGTCAAAGATTGTTCTTTTATGCTCAACAATTGGCTTACGCCTTTGCAATGGCCGGTGCTAATATTGGTGACTTAATCTACATATCTAAGAAAAATTCATGTTAAACTAATAACACACACACCCCACAAGTCTTCAAGAATGGTATGGCATAAGTATTCTTTATTATTATTAAACTAATAACACACGCGTCTGTACTTAACACGTATTCTTTATTATTATTATTACCAACAAAAAAAATGTATACTTTTGTTATAACGGTTAAAGTGTACTTTTAATTTTTAACTTTATACAAAATTTTATTTTGATCCTTTAATTTAAAAAATATTTTTTTAATCCTTTAATCCTAACATCATTAGTTTCATCGCAAAAAAAAAAAATTACACTAAACTTTTAAATATTGATAAATAATCTCACATGTTGACGAATTAAGTTTAATTTTTTTAAAAATAACAATGATTGGCACAAAAAATAATCATTTAAAACTAATGGTGTCAGGAAAAAAGAACTAAAAATATACTTTATAAAATTAAGGGATCAAAATAAAATCTTATGTAAAATTAGAGGATTAAAAATATACTTTAGTCAAAAAAATATGTATAATTTCTTCAGTAGAGAGAATAGTTTTGAGTTGTGTTCCCTTCTGTAATGTCTGCCTTGACATTAACAAGGCAACACTCTTACATATTGTCGTGATAACCATGATTAGATAAAAAGTTCAAGCAAAGGTTATCACAATTCAAAGGTTTTAAAAAGATAATTAGTTAAAACAATGGGATCCCAAGAAAACCTTTTTAAAAATATTGTTTGAGATCAAACCATAATTCAAAATTAATCTAATACAAATACGGAAGCATGAAAATCAAATTACTTCAAAATAGGCTGAAACAAGCCATTTTGCAATTATCTGGCCTGTCTACCATGGTGAATGGCATAGAGGGACAAGTCCCTTGAAGGCCGCTTGCACCGCGGCACAACAACCACTCATCACAGTATGCACCTACTGTCATCACAACAGAATGCTGTCATGACAACTCTCCAACTTCCGGAGCACGCCATTTCACCATTTGACATCCGATTTTGATAGTTCAAGTGTCCACACAAAGCTCTTCGAAGCCTCTAGCTAATGGCACCCGTTGACACTCAAACAATCATTTGTTTAAAAGATGGACACTCAAATTTAAAATTGTTCATTTTCACCTCAAAATATGCATAAAAGTGTCCAACTCACAATGCCAAATGCCATTAGAATCGAAGACACTTTGACCACCTCAAATGGACCACACACTATATGTGAATTCATTCATATCACACAAATAAGCAATCACACTCAAAATAACCACCAAACCCCCATTTGATAATAACACAAAGGGGTGGATTAAATTTAACACACATGACCAATTTGGTCATTTTAGCACATCAATCACTTTAAATATATCACTTGTAACTGTAACTTGGCCAAGCACACACACACTTAATCCACAACATTAACCTTGGACCAAGATACATACCCTTATTATAAATTCATACAAGTGATAACAAAACAATGTCATGTTCATAAGTTGGCAATATATATTAATAATATTTGTTACAATACCCAAAAAGAAGAAAAGGAAGAGCTATACAACTATGCTCTTAACTCTTTAGACGTCCCTTCCATCCTCTTGCCCCTACTGGAGCCCTCACCTGTAAAAGATAGCCACGGGGTCAGATAAACATCTCAGTAACAGAATAATTCGCTACTATTAATTAACATGCACAACTATTAGGGAGTAAAGCTATTAAAACACCAAAATATACTTTTTCATATTATAACATACTCTTTTTCATCAACGCAAATCATTTACCACTAGCATGATCCTTCTACCATCCGAGCTTCCATATTAGCCTAATTGAAACCATAAACTCTTGAACCAAGTGCACACTCACAATAGTTCGAGCTCACCTTCAGTGGTAAGATCACCTAACCAAAGGTGTCCTATCCCACTTCCAGACTATAATCTCCCCTTATCGTACACAAATCGGGATGTCGTTACTCCAACACCGCCTCATTGATGCTAAGGAGCGTCACTCTTCAATGCTGTATCCCATATGGATATTAAGGAGAAAATCTCTAACACTGTGCCTCACTAGATACTAAGGAAATGCATGCTATATAGACTTCTATTACTCCTTCCTATGGGTGAACTCGCACCCCCTAACATGATCATGTCCACACTCAACATATATATCACATATACATTTCAAATTTCTCAACACATTCATGTATAACTTTCATCATTTTCATCATTTTCAAATAGATTTTTCATGCACTAAACCATATTTCGCAATATGCAAGGTTATCAAAGCTCAAGTTCAAATCAAGATATCTATTCACAAATAGTTAAGTAATATAATCAATTAATGTAAATTATTCTGTTACCTCAACCCTTTGTCACACAAAAGGGTTACCATGACTTAATGTTAGCTCCACACGTTCTATACTCATGAGGTAGCTCGGGCAGTACTCAATCTACACAATCAAGTGACAACTATCAATTATCACTCCGGATAACTCCTAATTCACTAGGTTCTAACTGTCTAAAATACTCAAATTCATTTTCTAACAACATCAACTATTTCCAAACACTCTAATCATCTTATTAAACATTCTGAAACACCAAAATCACTAACCAATATCCTACATTGTCTCAAAATCTTTAAATTATACCTAGGGTTTGTCTAAACTCTCAACAAAAATTCCTAATTACCACAAAGCTCATAAACTTAGGATTAGAAGCTTGATTTAACTCCTTAAGACCTTAAATAAACCAATGAGTTAGGTCTAAATCTAAAAAAATCAAAATCAAAGCCTCCATTGTCCCAAATGTCTAGATTTTTACATAATGAGGAAGAAGAAGAAGAAAAAAAAGCTCACCCAATGTATATGAAGCTTGTAAGGCCTCAAAAATCACGTTGGAAGCAAGTCTTAGTAGCCACATGTCTCTCTTCACCGCTCCTCTCGTGTTCATTCTTTCCACTCTTGGTGGCAATTTGTCACCGCCAAAAGTTGCCACCAAAACTATACTTTTGGTGGCAACAATTAAATGTCGCTGTTAAAAGTGGACTTTTGGCAGCAACTTTGATTTGTCGTAGCTAAAAGTCTACTTTTGTGTTGGCACCAAAAATATTTTTGTAAAAAATAATTTAAAATTCTAAAATAATTTATATAATTCACTTTGGCGGTGACATTTGTCGCCTCCAAAATTATTTTTATGAAAAAATAATTTAAAAAATAAAAAGTAATTAATATAATCCACTTTTGGCAGCGACATTTGTCGTCACCAAAAATATTTTTATAAAAATAATTTATATAATTCACTTTTGTGTCACCACCAAAAGTATTTTTTATAAAAATAATTTAAAAATTTAAAAAGATTTATATA